TGGGGCTAAAGACTCGCAACCCCACTCGAATGGTATGACTGTTGTGTTTTTTAACGGTGTATGGTTTCTGTTTTTCCCCTCCCTTGAATTGTGAGCCGCCCTGAGTCCCCTCAGGGAAAAGGGCGGCATACAAATAAAGTAAATCATAAATCATAAATCATTCTTCAATTGCAAAAATTAGCCTTCAGTCAATAAAACACACAAGTAGGGACAGAGACGCTCTATCAAATGAACATTTTATGCTCGATTCTCAGTAGTTCAAGAGATCTATCATTGTTTTTAATTGAAAAAAAGCGGGGGAGAGGATCAAACCCCTCCCCCTTTAAAGGGATGACCTTCGTTTGTTTTAGAATCCTAAGATAATCTTCTTGCTGAACGCTGTCCTCCAGCTTCGACTTCTTTCCAGAATATAGGCAGTTCTTAACTTACAACCATCTGTTTAGGGACCATACAAAGTTACAGTGGCACTGAAAAAAGTGACTTATGATTATTTTTCATATTTATGATGGTAGCAATGGGTTATGTGATCACTTTTTGTAATCTTCTGGCAATAGCAATAGCACTTAGGCTTATATAAAACTGCTCCATAGTGCTTTATAGCATTCTCTGGGCAGTTTATAGCCTCAGCAAATTGCCCCCAACAATCTGGGTGGTCTTTATTTTACCGACCTCAGAAAGATTGATTCGACCTTGAGCCCTGTCAGGATCGAACTCCAGACTGTGCGCAGAGTTAGCCTGCAATATTGCATTCTAACCAGGGCTCTTAGAAAAGTAAATGTGGAAGCCAAATTCACTTAACAACTTGACAAGAAAGATCATAAAAAGAGGCAAAAACACACTTAACAACTGAATAGACCTGTTGGGCTCAACTGTAACCGTAAGTCAAGAACTACCTATATTATGAAATAAAGAAGGCCTGAGCTATTGCTGAACCCTGATCAAATTTGGGCTAGATTTTTTTCTTGCATCTTCCTCTTTTAAGACAGCTTTTGAAATTCTCTATGCAAATAATGAATTGAAATTTTTGGGGTGTTTCATTCGAAGATAATTATCATCATTATTAGCTCTGAAAAGATAAAAGGCAAAAAAAAGTAGTATTCCAGAGGAATGGCTGATTTATCATATCCTCCAAAATCATTGTCAGGGGATTATCCTGTATTGAGAAAGTAACATTTGCATAGCAGTGTCTCAACATATATAATGTGTGTATTTGTGTGTGCGTGTAAACTCTCTTCCACCATTTCTTTTTACAGGTGGTCCTCAAGCACAAGTCATCCCATAATTTCTGTTATTAAATGAGACACTTGTTAAGTGAGTTTCGTCCCATTGTACAACTTTTCTTGCCACGGTTCTCCAATGAATTCCTGTAGTTAGTAATACAGTTGTTAAGTGATTCTGGCTTCCCCATTGATTTTGCTTGTCAGGGATTCGCAAAAGGGGATCATATGACCCCAGGAAACTGCAACCGTCATAAATAAGAGTCGGTTGCCAAATATCTGAATTTTGATCACATGACCACAGGGATGCTGCAATGGTCGTTGTTAGGTAAGCTCCCTGTTGGGAGAGCCAGTATGTTCAGCGAAGCATTGTGAGAGTTGTGTTGGAGAACACACAAACCAGCATACAGAGACACTGCAGTTTAAATAGGCTTTTACTTTCGTG